AAAAACTGCATTTTTTAAATTAAGCATGATATGTAATGAAAATAACTTACTTGGCTATTAACATAAACCACCAGTATTTTTAAATAGAAATGACATTTAAACTCAAATGATCATAGCTATATAATGATATATTCTCCTGCAGGCTCCATGAAGAAGAAAAGATCTTGAAAGTTCAGCCCTCACATAAGCCTCCTGAAAGTCTGGGGTACAGTGAAACTTCTTTACAGGAAGTAGATAATAAAGCAGCTGTACTAACAGAGACCCCTTGCACAAGTGATGGTGAGAAGACTTTAATAGAAAAAATGTTTGGAGGAAAACTACAGACTCACATATGTTGTTTGAACTGCAGGAGTACCTCACAAAAAGTAGAAGCCTTTACAGATCTCTCACTTGCCTTTTGTCCTTCCTCTTCTATGGAAAACTTGTCTTTTCAAGGTCCAGCATCATCACCCAACACACAAGATGGTGGTCTAATGCAAGCCACTGTACCAGGTCCTTCGGAAGAACCAGTAGTTTATAATCCTGCAACAGCTGCCTTTATCTGTGACTCAGTTGTGAATGAAAGAACAATAGGCAGTCTTCCTGATGAGTTTTACTGTACTGAAAACACTTCTGTCCCTAATGAATCTAACAAGATTCTTGTTAATAAAGATGTACCTCAGAAACCAGGAGGTGAAACCACACCTTCAGTAACTGACTTACTAAATTATTTTTTGGCTCCAGAGATTCTTACTGGTGACAACCAATATTATTGTGAAAACTGTGCCTCTCTGCAGAATGCTGAGAAAACTATGCAAATCACAGAGGAACCTGAATACCTTATTCTTACTCTCCTGAGATTTTCTTATGATCAGAAGTATCATGTGAGAAGAAAAATTTTAGACAATGTGTCACTGCCACTGGTTTTGGAGTTGCCAGTTAAAAGAACTACTTCTTTCTCTTCATTGTCAGAAAGTTGGTCTGTAGATGTTGGCTTCACTGATATTAGTGAGAACCTAGCTAAAAAATTAAAGCCTTCTGGGACTGAAGAAGCTTGCTGCCCAAAATTGGTGCCCTATCTATTAAGTTCTGTTGTCGTTCACTCTGGTATATCCTCTGAAAGTGGGCATTACTATTCTTATGCCAGAAACATCACAGGTACAGAGTCTTCATACCAGATGTGCCATCAGTCTGAAACTCTGGCATTAGCATCCTCCCAGAGTCATTTACTAGAGAGAGATAGTCCCAGTGCAATTATTGAACAGGATTTGGAAAATAAGGAAATGTCAAAAGAATGGTTTTTATTTAATGACAGTAGAGTGACATTTACTTCATTTCAGTCAGTCCAGAAAATTACGAGTAGATTTCCAAAGGACACAGCTTATGTTCTTTTGTATAAAAAACAGAACAGCACTAATGGGTTAAGTGGTAATAATCCAACCAGTGGACTCTGGATAAATGGAGACCCACCTCTACAGAAAGAACTTATGGATGCTATAACGAAAGACAATAAACTGTATTTACAGGTAAGTTGGAAATACAAGCTTTAGTATTTGTGGAAAATATTAAACGATCGGCGGGTGGTTAAATGAGTACCCTAATTTTGAAACCTAACTTAAATGTTTTCAAGGAACTCTGAAACTTGAGTCTG